AGAAAGTTACTCAACTCGCTGCTACACTTTCAAAGACAAAATTACCATTATCAAATTTGTAACCTGACAATTACTATTTAAATATATTATTACACACAACATTTGCTATTGTCTGAATGAACGATTTCAGGTACTGCATTTCGATAAATGTGAATCTACTTTAAAATTATTATTAAAAAGAAAATCGGTTTATCGCTCTAGTGTTGTGTTAATGACATTCGCACAATCATTTTTCTGTATTTGCTAGAGGATAAAATACTTGTTGCAGTAATGATTTTCATATTAGTTTTAAATGCTCTACTAATAAATAATGAAATAAAGTCTATCAAAATATTAAAGAAACAACTCATAGAATTAAATGAAATAGACATATTTGTAATAAGGTATTTAAAAAGTATTTTTTTGCACTCGTGTATTTACTTTTGATTCGGACAGTTTGAGACATATTGAGTCAATCGAAAGTGTCGTTTTGGTTTCCTCAGTCGGGAGACACTTTCAAATATGTCATCTAAAGCTAGAGTGTGCAATAAAGGCAGTTAAACACGGTCACTCTTATAGGTTACTCATAACTTTAGAGAAGCGGCCCACATTTTTCCCTAAACCTATAGTTCAATTCAACACTTGTTTAATTTAAAATGACCAACAATAATTTAAACGTTATAAATATATTGATGACTACAGAAAAGACCTTTTGTTTTCACACTACCGTCGACAAAAAAGGTTTTTTAGCCTATTAACATATCTTTCTAAAGAAGCGTAGCCTAAAAAAAGGTTTTTGAATGTCAATGGTGACTGTGAAATAGTTGATTGTAATGACGAAAATTTATTTTTATATGTTTTAATACATTTTGACTACGATAATTAATTCAGTAGTGTACTTATTAGAGTCCATTACTACACGGTTTCATTTCTACTTTTTCGGCTCTGATATATATATATAGATATATATATATATGTTACAGTCAAAACCCGTTTTTAGTTAGAACGCGTTTTAACTAGTTGAAACTAGTTTATACTAAATGTCTTTGTTAAAACCCGTTTTGTCTAGTTGAAACTAGTTTATACTCAAATTCATTTTTGACTACAGTAAATTCTAGTTTTAACTAGACAAAATCGGTTTTGTCTAGTTAATTTACTGCTGTACAT